AATGCATGCCTTAGAATGTAATTGATGACATCATATGAGAATAGATAGGTATTTTAACTCAAGCAAGGTAAATAAGAATCAGAGTGGGTGGAGGGCAGGGAAGTTATTTCCCATTTTGTCTTCTACATTCAAAAATTATATAATGGATCTATACTTATTTAGTGTCATGTGGTAGAAAGGAAAGTACACTCCATCAATAAATCTTTGTTATTAGTAGCTCCTATGACTAAAATATGGCTATGGATGGGAATGATTTTTTCAAAAGAAACAGGATAGGTAAAAGAGTTGGAATATGGAGCATTACAAATTAGGAAGCTATAATCATGTGAGGAAATCCAAGAACCAGAAGGGAGAAAAATGGTCAAGAGGATTTGGATGAAGACCAATGGATGTACCAGCAGTAATTGCTTGAACAGAATATACTACAAATGGCATAGACATAAAGAAAAAAGCAATGAAAAATTAAGGAAATTGATCTTAAACCTAGCACAGACACATGATATGGTAGTGATGTGGGACCTTTAATTATTCAGACTGCTAGAGTATTTTATCTCTGTCAAAAGTAAATAGTAGTGTTTTTGAGATGAATCATAGGATCTAGAGATCATAAGGTCCTGTGCACCCATCCAAATCCTCAGGGGAGATCTAACAAGCTGGCTGTAGGTTCTGGAGTCTGAGCTATTCAGGGACTTAGGGCCCATGGCACTGAATGGCTTTAGGAACACTCAAGAGAACTCTAGTTTTATCATCCTCAGAGAATACCACACACAAAAAAAAATAGAAGGCTGACATCTCTGAAGGAAAATGAAATGATGTAAGAATCTGGAAAGTATTTTACATCTGAAGAACTGTGTTGTAAGAAACGCAATTCTTTACACACCTTTTAAATGTTTTAGACAAAGTGAGGAAGTAATAATCAAACTAGATTGACACCAGTGCTTCCTGTCCCGTTACAGTTGCAGTGAATTTAACTTATGATAGGCTCATATGGGGACCCAGAATCAGAAGAAATGAAATATGAATTGTTTGTACCTTGTTATGTCCCATTAGGTAAATGAATCTTTTACACTTTTGAAAAATTATTGTACATTTGCATAAATTTATTGAATCCTTAATGGAAATCTTATTTCTGACCTTCAAGCAATCGATTGACCAAGTATTCAAATTAAAAGGTATGAGTTTATATTTTCTAGTACCAAATATAAATAGATAGATAGATAGATAGATAGATAGATAGATATATGTTTCAATGTCTTTACCACCAAGATTAGGAAAACAAAAAGTGCTACTATCAATCTGAAATGACCAGGGGTATGACAGACTATATGAGCACATTCAGAAGGTGTTTTTGATGAGTTTTATCTAATGCAGTAAATAGGTCCCTGGGTATGAAAATCAAGACCAAAGTAGAGGAAATTAAAGAGAAGGTGCAGATTGATTCAGGTGGCCTCCTACTGCCATTTTAGAGAGATATCTATTTTCCTACTCTTTAGAAACTCATTTCTCTCATTATGTTCCTTTATTACTTAGTCTGCATGGAGTGTTGGTTTTTCTCCTCCTGGTTACCACCCTACCCACTCAGCACTTCCTTTCATGTATGGTCCCTAGTTCCCAAATAATATTCTGGTGTCTGATCCAAATCAAGGGTTAAAGAGATTACATCCAGCAAAACAACATCTTTAATGGTAAATTTTTAGGCAGCATAAAACAGGAAATGAACATTTCAGAGAGTTTGGGCTTTGTTTTGGGTTGCAATGACCTTTCCAATGCCACCTTAAAGCTTATGGCCAAAGTGATTACTGAAGGAGTGACCAAATCTGTGAATCAATAAACATTTATTAAGATCCTACTGTGGATCAGACATTGTGATGGTGATACAAAGGCAAAAGTGAAAATCATCCTTACCTTCAAAGACTTTAGAGTCTGCTTGAGGAAAGTAGGATATGTGTGCATATATACATACAAACATAAATAGATATATAACATGCATAATATGCATATGCATATATAGTGTATATATCTGTAGGTGTATGTATGAATAACAATATATAAAAATAAGTATAAAATAGATGCAAGTTGATTTCAGGGGTCAGTACAAGAAATTGAGTGAATCAGGAGAGAGTTCATGTAGAAGATAATATTTGTGCTAATATCTTGAAGACCTAGGGATTCTGAGAGACTTTGGTCTGGGGAAAATGCATTGCAAGCAGAGGGAACAGGCAGAGGAAAGACCCAAAGATGGGAAATGGAATGCCATGTATTAGATAGACCCTTGAGTTTATTGAGTATGACAGTAACATGCTCAGATTTGTGTTTTAGAAAAACCCAGTTTGACAGCTTTGTAAAGTATGGCTTAAAGAAGGAGCAGACTTAAGGTAGAAGCATCAATTGAGAGGCAACTGCAACAGTCCATCAGAACTGAAGAACCTGTGGCCTCAAGGCCACATCTAGCCTCTAGGTGCTCAAGTATGGCCCTGTAACTGAATCCAAACTTCACAGAACAAATCCCCTTAATAAAAGGATTTGTTCTATTAAACTTGGACTCAGTCAAAAGGCTGCAACAAAGGACATATAAGGTCACATGTAGCCTTAAGGTCACAGGTTCCCTACCCCTGGGATAGATAACAAGTCTCTAATGTACAGAGGAGACTTAGTGAGTGAAGAGAGGGTACTGATATGAGAGGTATTGTAGAGATAGAAAGAACAAGATGTGGAAACTGATTGGATTGTGGGACAGGAGCGAGATGACAAAGCTATAATGAAGGTGTAAATTTGGGTAACTAAAAGGATAGTAATACCCTGAAAGAAATAAGAAAATTCAAAAAAAGAACACTATTAATGAGTAGAAATAATGACTTTTGTTTTAGACTTGCTGAGTTTGAGATATTTATAAGACAGACACCTTATATCAAATAGGCAGTTAGCAATATGGTTCTGGGGCTTAGGAGAGAAATGAAGGCAAGACATGTAGATATGAGACTTATCATCAAAGAAATGATAAATAAACCCACATGAACCAATAAGGGAACTAAGATCATTTAGGGAGATTATAGAAGAGAGCCTAGAACAAAACCTTGGAATATGAGCACAGTTAGAGAACATGATGAGATGATGATGATGATGATGATGATGATGATACACTGAGACACTAATGATGAATAATTAGATTGACAGGAAAACAAAGAGAGAGCAGATCAGAAAAATCCCAAGAGGTAATATAGGAGAAAGTGTTTAAGAGTGTCAAATCCTTTGCAGTAGTCAAGAAGAAGGATACTTGAGAAGACTATCCCAGTAGATGGAATATTAGAGGAAAAGAAGTTATAAGGGAGGCCATAAGGTCAGGAGGGAATGGGACCCCTGGGTATAAATAAAGATTTCATGTTTTAGGGGGAGAAGGATGAACCCATGACTTCATCAGAGACTGGAGTAAAGGAGGAGAGATGAGAGATAATATTAAAATATGCCTCTTGAAATCAATATTTGGCACATCAAAATTCCTCTATATTGAAAAATTAGACAATTATTCTCAAATTTGTCCTGCCTGTCCCTGATTCTGTGTCTTTTTTATCCTCCCATACAATTATCCCTTTCTACTTTGAATTGCAATTATTTGCACATCTTTTTTGACTCCCTGAAAGACTGGAAGCTTTTGGAGGCCTATGACTGAAAATATTCATCTTTTTAACTATCCAGGTCTATAATAGAGGATTGCATAGAGCAGATGTTGATAAAAGTTTGGTATAAAGTATCATTGATGCATCCCACTTTGTAATTTCTTTGTCCTATGTCTAACTAAATGGATTAGTTTCTGTATGACCTTACAGGGAGCAGTGTGTCCAGAATGCATGAATTGGGGTGTAATTCATGAGTGTATGGGGAAAGATGGGTATTTTAAATCAGGCAAGGGGAATCAGAATACAGAAGAGCTGTTATTTCCTGTGCTGCATTCTGTATAAAACGTGGAACATATCTACCACAGATGGAGGGGCTTTGGGAGTGAGTTCTCTATTTGGATATGGATTTGCTTTGCAAGGTGGTATATTTTTTAGGCAAAAAAGAGCATAAAATTAAATGAGCCAAGTGGTGTCAAATCCTTGCCTCTGTCTTCATTTGCATAAAAATTCCAAGCTGTTGGTGTAATTATGATGTCAAAATGTCTTGAGTGGCATACACATTCTGAACAGTGAATATAATTTAAAATTACTGGAGAATATATGTTACTATTAGGCTTGAAGAATAATAAGACAACCATTTGTTGAAAAGCAAGTTTGTGTTTGCCTCAGAACCTGGAGAAACTTTTAGCTGAGACTTGGAATCAGGAGTCCAGCTTAGTCAGCATGGTTCTAGGACTACTTTTGTGAACACTGGAAAATGATATAACTTCCTGGAACCCTTGAATGATGTAATTTCCTGAGTATCTTCTGAATAAAATGGTAAAAAGACTACTGAAGAAGCCTATTTCACAGGTATCTTTTGATGGATGTGCTTGACAACACTGGACATTATACATTTAAGAGATATTATTACTGTTATTTTCAAGCTGAGAATCTTGTTCATAGGTTCTCAAATGCTTTGGGACATAGGAAAACCCTTAAAATAATCTACTTCAGTGGTTCTTAATTTTTTTGTGTGTGTCAGAGGTCACTTTTGCTGATAGGACTCATAAAAAATATGGGAAATTTTTTTTGAAAAAAAAAACTCCTTATATAAAAATCAAATCAAATCACATCCAAAGGATTATAAATGAGACCTTATATATGGGAAAAAAACAATTATAAAAAATAAAGACATGTTCATTGATTTAGGGTTAACATTCTTTGATCTAGATCAATGCTCTAACTTGACAAATGAGAAAACAGGCAGACAGAGCTGTGAATTGCCCAAGACTACACAGAAGACCTTAACTAAGGTTTCCTTGCATCTAATACAGTGAATGTTCTTCTTATCATTTGACAGATGGTTCTTTCCCCTGAACAGAAAGTCAAGAGAAGAACCAGAATATGGCCAACTTCACAATGGTGAGAGGATTTCTCCTCATGAGCTTTTCCAAAACGTGGGAGTTGCAGGTCTTGCATGCTATGCTGTTCTTACTGATCTACTTGGTGGCTCTGATGGGGAATCTACTCATCTTCACCCTAATTTCTCTAGATGGGCACCTCCACAACCCCATGTACTTCTTCTTGAAGAATTTGTCCTTTTTAGATCTTTGCTTTATTTCTACTATAGTTCCCAAATCTATTACAAATTTTCTGAGCCACAGACATTCCATTTCTTTCTTAGGGTGTGTGTTACAGGTCTTTTTAGTGATTTTATGTTCAGGATCAGAGCTTCTTCTTCTCACAGTAATGTCTTATGACCGCTATGTGGCCATCTGTCAGCCCCTGCACTATGAAGTCATCATGAACAAAGGAAATTGTTTAAGGATGGCAGCTGCCTCCTGGATCACTGGAGGTTTGTTTGGGGCCCTGTACTCAGCTAACATATTTTCATTACCATTCTGTGGCTCCAGTGAGATCCATCAGTTCTTCTGTGATGTCTCTTCCTTACTCAGGATCTCCTGTTCTGAGACATACATTGCAGTTGATGTGAGTGTAGCCATTGGAATAAGCTTAGCGATTTTCTGCTGTATTTCCATAGCAATATCTTATGGTCACATCTTCTCAACTGTACTGAAAATTCCAACCTCAGAGAGGAGGTCAAAAGCCTTCTCCACTTGCCTGCCCCATCTCATAGTTCTACTGATTTTTATCACAACTGGGTTCATGGATCATCTAAAGCCACCTTGGGACTCTGAGTCAGTTCTAGATATGTTGTTGCCTATGTTCTATATAGTAGTGCCCCCAACCTTGAACCCTGTCATCTATAGCCTGAGGAATAAGGATATTAAGATTTCTGTGAAGAAGCTAATAGCCTGGAAACATTTCCCAGAGGGATTAATAATAAAGTCTTTTCCATGATCAACAGGAAGG